TGTGGGGCTGGGCTGCCTGTGCCTCCTCTCCTCCTGCGGTGCCCTGGCACGCACCCAGCATCCCCCAGTGCCACCGGCAGCCTGTGCAAGCTGTCATGCTGCTGCTACTGTGCAGGGCTGCAACCACACAGCGCATCCTGCCACTGCCAAAGGGTCACGTGGAGCAGTCTTGACCCCTGCCTGCCCATCCCTTGCGGCTTACAGATGTCTCACTGGTGGCGTTTTTCCTCCCAAAACAACCCCTGCAAGTACCCCTGGGCTCAGGACCTGCCTGTGAGACCCCTCTGCAGCTGTTTTGGGGTGCTCAGCCTCCGCTGTGGCCAGCGGCTGCCTCAGGTGCTTGGGATTGTGTTGCCTCCTGGGTGCCGGTGCTCACAGCATCCTGGGATAGAGATGCAGTGATGCTGGGGCTCTCCCCACTGCCTGGGGACCTTGACGTACCACATGCACCTGGGGGCAGTGAATCCGCCTGTGGGCACCCTGGTCCCAGTGATACCTGCATCCTTAGAAGCAAGCAGGGCTGGGGGGGACACACATTGCCTGCCGTTAGCCCCCGGGGAGCCGCGCTTGCCTCCGCTGGCACCCTCGCAGTGGTGGCACATGGCAACCTCCCAGCGCGGTGCCCAGGGACAAACCGTGCGGGGGAGTGACCCCCCCTCCCCACCCCCTGACAGCACATTTGCCTGGGCTCCTGAGTGGCAAAGCCACGGGGTGTGGGGGGGCAAGCCAGAGCAAGGGCCGTGGGTGCCCTCTGCACTATGGACCCGCCAGGTGGGCGAGCGCAGCCCCCACCACTGCCCACCCTGCCAGGGGAGCTGCCAGGGCCCCTTGGTGCCGGAGGAAAGCTCAGCCACAGCCTAGCTAGAAACACAGATTTATTGCAACATTGGTTTGCAACCAGCACTCAATTCCCCAGCAGTGGCTCTGGACCCACGCAGATGCCCTGATCCCCCTGTGATGCCTCTGCAGCCAGCGGGCTGGTCCCTGGGGGCACAAGCCCACCCACCCCCATCCAGGCAGGCTTGCTGGGGTCCTGCTGTGCCAGGGGCTGCCTGTGGGCTGGCAGCATGGAGGGAACAGAAGCTGGATTCAGGGTCCTTCACTGATGTAAGCCACCAGCTGGAATCTCTGAGCAGTCGCAAGACTCTCAGGATCCCTGGGGAGAGAGCGGGGTCAAACCCCCCAAGCCTGTGAGCGAGAGGGCTGAGCATGGGAGATGCCACCATGTCTTCTCCTCTTACCGCACTCCTTTGGTGCCAGCCCGGATACTTTGGGGAGCTGGGAGAGGTGCCAGCCCAGTTCCCACCCGCAGCTGCTACACATATCCTGTCAGGTTGTAGGAGTTGAGCTCGCTCTTGGTCTTCTGCGTCTGGCTGACAGAGGGCTGGGGGCTCTTGCCCACCAGCAGCCGGGGCTGGTAGGTGCTTGTGTAGGTGGCCGTTGGGTCCCGGGCAGGGCAGGAGGTGCAGAGGATGAAGCCACCAACAAGGGAGAGGAGGGAGGAGATGATGCCCAGGTAAAGCGCCTCCCCGAGCTCGAACTTCATGCTGTCGGGGAGGACGGGGTTGCGGAAATCCTGCAGCACCACATGGATGTTCCACACCAATGGGATGAAGCAGAGCAGCCCCCCGAGGATGAAGACCGCGCCGCCCGCTACCGCCACCCGGTCCTTGCCTGGCGAGCCCTGGCTGAAGACGGTGCACCTCATGCCCATGACGGTGAGGAGGCAGGCAAGGGAGGAGACGGCACAGGAGCTCACCATCAGGGCTTGGGCCGCCTGGATGTCGGCAGGTAGGTTGAGTAGGGAGCTGTAGATATCGCACTGGGTGATGCCTGTGCTGTATGTGGCGCACTCCATCCACAGCCCCTTGGTGAAGCTCACGGCTGTCACGATGCTGGAGCCAATGTAGGAGCTGGTCTTCCAGCTGGGCAGCAGCGTGGTTGTCAGCGTGCCGATGTAGCCCAGGAATGCCACGGTGTAGCCCAGCAGCTGGAGCCCCATGGAGACCATGGTGGGGGCTGGCTGTCACCTCCCTGGGCCTCACGGCTTCTTGCCCGGCTTGCCAGCAGTTCACTTCCACGCGCTTACCTTCCCATGGCCCTGCCGGCAGCTCTGCTCGCTGTGCTGCAGCTCCACCCCACTCCCAGGGGTGCTGGTTTTGTGTGGGCACCGGCACGTGGGTGGGAGCCGGGGGGAGGAGAGGTTACCTGCAAGAGTGGAAAGCAATTCCTCCCCGATTAACGATTGACCCAAGCCTGTGGGGGAGCGCCAAGCGCCCTTTCACCTCCGCTATCTCTCCAGCCAGACTTCAGAGGCAGAGCAGCACTGCCTGGGAAGGACGCCAAAGCCCTCCCTTGCACTGGGGCCGCGGGCAGGGAAGGAGAGTCAGCCACTGGTGGGGGGAAAGTGCCAGCTGCCTTCCTGGGAGTCCCTTGTCTTCTGTGATGTCCCGAGCCAAGGAAGCCAAAAAGCTACGGCTGCACCATGTTATTTGGGACCTGCCGGAGGTGATTTCAGGTGGTGGCCCTGAGGCTCCCCCAGCTGAGGAAGGGGGATTGTGCCTCGTCCCCATCTGCACGGGGCTCACCCAAGGCATCTGCAGCCACCCACCACTCACCCTGACCTGGCAAGGCTCCGGCGGGACAACGGGAAGCGCCCACCTGAAATTGAGCCATGGCTATCGGTCTTTCTCTGATGCTGGGAACAACGATGGAGAGGGATGCATGTGACAGTGACACCTGTGTCCCCAGAAGAGCCCAGAGGTCCATGGAGGGCAGAATTACATCAGGGCAAAGCACGCTGGCAGCACCTCAGGGATGCTTCCCTGGAGTGCCCCAGCCGAGCGGGGTGACGCGTCCCTTGGTGGGGTGAGCACACTGGGGTGCAGCTCGTGCTCGCTGATGTCAGCGGGGGTTTTTCTGCTGGTGCCATCTCCTGCCCGCAGCCTTGGGTGCAGGCAGGGGGGTTTGGCAGAGGCACTGGAGTGGGGTGGTTTGTTTTCCCTCTGCCTTGTTTCAAAATTCCCCCTCCCGCGGCATCTTGCGAAACTGGACTGAGCCCACGCCACACTGTGCCGACACCACAGCCGGCAGCCTCTTGCCCTGGGAACGCTCTTGGCTGAGAGTGCCGCTACCGCCCAATGCCTCCACTCCTCTCCCCGCCCCGCTGCTGGCACCTCAAATGCTTGGTACCAAAAGGTTCCCAACTTTCTGTCTCCTTTCCTGTGTGCTAACCAAGACCACCCGCTCCGTCTCAGGGGTGTTGCTGCAAAAGAAACACCTGGGGTACTTGGGGTGCTGGCAAAAAGGCATGGGAGGGTCATGCCAGAGCTCTGCGGTACTTACAGAGGCGGCTGGAGACACGGCGTGGGACCGAGGGTGGCCACGGCCAGGGGTGACCCAGGACTGGAGGTGTCTGGTTGGGGCAGGGTGAGTGGCTGGGGCCCCGACCCAGGGGATCAGGGGCTGCAAATTGTTTAGCTACGGCTTTGTAAAATCCACCTGCAAATCTCAGCCTGCATCAGAGGCTTATTGCAGATCAGAATTAAACCCTTTCAGCGTCAGGAAGGACTGGGGAGCTGGGATGCCTCATTTTGCTTGTTGTCTATTAATTATCAGGGTAGGTTTGCCTAAGTGGCTCAGGTCTGTGGCTTGCTGTCACCTTTCTGGCCAGCCTTGGTGGCCAGCGGGTGACTGCGTGCCACCATCCATGTGTCCACTTCGGGCTGCGTTGCCTGTGCTGGGGTCGGAGGGGCAGTGAAACGCCAGCAGGTTGAACTCCCCATGCCTGCAGGGTGAGCTCAGGCTTTCGGTTCGCTCCTCCTGGCCCTGCTTGTCCTCCACAGGGTTTGTTGTTGTAAGACTCCTGGCCCAAATGAGGAGCAAATGGAGATGGTAATGAGGGCTGCACTGGCCCCGTGCCCCCTCCTGCTTGCCGGCTGCCGCAGATGGAGAGGGGCAGGGAGGGCCCCTGGTGACAAATTGTGCTCGAAGCTGAGCAGGGTCCGGCCAGCATTTGGACAGGGGTGTTTGGATGCTGATAGCAGAGCTACAGCAGGGACCATTTGCTATTTTCTTTCCTTGTCCCAAATTAAAACCCTCCCAGGAGTGGGAGGTGACCTGTCTGCCAGCGGCACCTCAGCTCGAGTGCTCGGGCAGAAGCAGTGGGCAGGAGCACCAGGCAGGGACAGGACGCGTGGCAGTGCTGGGGTGGGGGCTTGCACCCTCATATCAAGAAGCTTTTCTGTACCTCCCAGTATGGTCCACATCTCAAGAAGCCAACGGAGAGGGCAGGGAGCAGGGGCAAGTGCGTGCTTTCCCCACTGCGCCAGCAGTGTGGGAACGAGGCCTGGCCTCTCCCCAGGGTGATCTGAGCAGAGGCCATGGATGCCTGAGCAGGACCATTGCCCCGCCTGGGCCTGGCGTCCACCCCTTCCGTCCGTCTTCCCTCCCTGTCCTCTCTTGAGCATCCCATCACCTGCCTCCTGGTTGCTCTGTGCTTGCCACCACTGCAGCCTATCACACTGTCCTCATCATGCCCATCACCCTGTCCCCAGGGCATGCCCATCAGGCTGTCCCATCACGTGGCCATTGCACTGTCCCCATCCCATGCCTATCATGCTGCCCCAGCACTCCCCATCCCTCCCCCACGTCCCCCCTCCCTTATGCAAACGGCTACAAAGAGCACTTAATCATCCTTGTTAATTGTCTCTGCTTTTCCCTGTTCCCCCCTGGGGATTTTCTCACAAATGGTGTCTAACTTTTCCCTTCTGTGTTTTGCTTTTCCACCAGAGATCGCAGCCCCTCCGCCCCCAGCCTCCCCCCAGCCCTCTGTTTACACAACTGGGACAAATTTCACACGCCAGGGACCACTGTCCCCACACCTCTAGTCCCTGGCTCCCCTGCCCCGAAGAATTTGTGAGTCACCGGCTGGGGCAGGGCTATAAAGGTGTCCTCGCCAAGGGTCTGCAGTGTCCAAGGGGACACCGTTGCCTGCCACCATGGAAGCTGCTGCCTGTTGCCTGCCTCCCCACGGGCTCCGGGTGCCTGTGACCAGTGCTCGCCCAGCCCCAGGGCTGGAGCAAGGGGGAAGGTACCTGTGTGCTGCGCAGCCTGGGGGGACTGGGGAGGGTGGGGAGGGCAGGGCGTGCGCGGGAGGTGGGATGGGGAAGGCTCCAGCTGGATTCTGGTGAAGGCTGGGTGGCTCTGCTCTGATGGGAACCCCTTGGATCCTGGTGGCTGCGGGTGGGAGAGAGGGTGCAGAGCCTGGGGGACAATGCTGGGGGCTCCCAGGCGTGCTGGAACAGGACGAGGAGCACTGAGGTGGGGGGCTGAGCCGGGCAGGTGAGACTGTGGGGCTGGGGGGGTGCGTGGCTGCGGTGGGGGGAGCAAGGCAAGGAGGGAGCAGGCCAGGGTGGGTGGCTGTCGCACTGAACCTGCTCTCCGCACCTAGATCCCTGCCTCTCTGGAGACCGTGGCTGCCCCAAGCAGAGGAGGGAACCGGACAGTGGAGGGAGCAGACAGACACTGTGAGTTTTACAGTCCCTGCTTGGGTCCCCCCCAGTTTCCCGCTAGCAGGGTTGGGGTCCCTGTTTGGCAGAAAAACAGTCTCTCGCACCATACTCCTTCACCCCCAGCACGGTTGCATAGCAGCACTGTGCCCTGGTGCATCACCCCTCTGCCCCACAAGCCATGCAGCCTTGCGGGGCGGGGCCGGGCAGACCCCCCAGGGCAGCTACAGCCAGCACAGCCATGCCGGGGCCTGAAAGGGCCGCCTGTTCCCAGGCCTGGCGGGCATTCCTCAAGGGGTTAGCGGGATGCCTGGGCATGAGCTTTTGAGCACGGGGGGGAGATTACACTGGCAAAAAGCCCATCGGGGAGGACGGGTAGATGCCAGCTTCCTTCGCGGGGGCATGAGGACCTAAACCCAGGGGCAGAGGACGGGGGAGAAGCTGGCTTCAGGGCAGGCTGACCCTGCAGGGGTCTGCCAGGTCTGTGGGGCATTGTCCGCGGCGTTGTCCGCACCAACGGGAGAGAAAGGTCCCTGCCCTCGCTGCCAGCTGGGGTCCCCGTGCACCCTGCTGCTGCCATGCCAGGAGGAGGGGGCAGCAGGAGCCCCAGGGCAGGTCCCACCCCAACTGTGTCTCCTCAGGCTTGGACTCGGGAGGCAGTGGGGGATGGTGGCCCCGACAAAACGCTGGCGTTTTTCCACCACCCAGTCAGGTACGTCCCCTGCTGCCGGGTGCCCCGGCTGGGCCCGAGGGCAGCGGGCAGGCGGGGGCCCTCACCCCGGGTCTCCCCACACAGGCTCCTCTGGCCCAAGTCCAAGTCCTTTGACTATCTGTACGGCATGGGGGAGAAGCTGCTGGAGAACTTCCCGGTGCAGGCCACCCTCTGCCTCTACGAGGACTCGGGCAGCGAGGAGGAGGAAGAGGAGGAAGAAGAGGAGGAGGAGGAGGCAGGGGACATTGCGGCAGGTCCCCCACCGCAGGCAGGCAGCCCTGGCAGGCCGGTGTGAGGGCAGGGTGCAGCGGGCGAGGGCAGGACGGCGGCACCAAGGAGGTGCAGGCAGATGCCTG